AATTTATGCATTGTTTTTTTAAATTTAAAACTTTTACTTTCTAAATATGGATATATACAGTAAAGTCCTAATATTTTTATCGATTTGACAAGAAAATCATAAATTTTATTTTTTTTTATAGTAAAGTCCAAATTACCGGCAGTTTTTGACACTTTTACCCTTTTTCGTGGTTAGCCAGTAATTATGACTTTTTTGTCAACAAAATAAACTTTATGACTTTCTTGTCAAATCGTCAATTAGGACTTTACTTTCAAAAAAATAAAATTTATGACTTTTTTTGTCAAATTGTTGAAAATATTGGAACTTTAGTGTATATATAATTTTTTTTTGTTAGAAATTTAATGGTATGATACTCTTTAAGCATAAGAGTTATTGAAACGTTCTCTAATCAGCTAGATCTTATTGAAATCTTTTACGTTTGCTTCTTGTTAAATTGTTTTTTTAATCTCAACAGACCGACATTGGAAAAAAATTAAGATAATCAATAAATAAAGAAAGAACCAGGGTTGTGTTGACTTTTTTCAGTCTCAAAAATGGAGAAATTAGAAACCTAAAAATCAAAATTGCCCTAACTTTATACAAACACAAACAACACATGCCTAGTCAAAAGGGTGTGAATGTGGAGAAGAGAAAGAAGGGCAAATTCGTTTTTTTTCGGTTTCTTATTTCTCCATTTTTGGGGCTGCAAAAAGCCAACACAACCCTGGTTCTTTCTTTCTTTTCTTCTTGATTGTCTCAATTTTTTTCAATGTCGGTTTGTTGAGATTAAAAAAACGATTTAACAAGAAGCAAACATTAAGGATTTCAATAGAATCTAGCAGATTAGTGAAGGTTTCAATAACTCTTATGCTTAAAGAGTATCATACCATTAAATTTCTAACCAAAAAAATTATATATACACTAAAGTCCCAATATTTTCAACGATTTGACAAAAAAGTCCTAAACTTTATTTTTTTGACAATAAAGTCATAATTGACGATTTGACAAGAAAGTCCTAAATTTTATTTTTTTTGACAAAAAAGTCCTAATTACCGGCTAACCGGGAAAAAAAATGGTAAAAGTGTCAAAAACTGCTAGTAATTTAGATTTTACTATCAAAAAAATAAATTTTAGGATTTTCTTGTCAAATCGATAAAAATATTATGATTTTATTGTATATATCCCTTCTAAATAAAGTGGTAATTATTATTATTATTATTATTATTATTATTATTATTATTATTATATATATATATATATACACACACACACACATCATTTATATCAAATCCGAAAATTAGAATTATCAAAAATAATTTCAATATGAAGAAAATAAAACTATGCATTTTACATGAAATTTATTATTATTATTATATTTGAAAATATTTGACAAATCAAGAAAAAAAAAGTCTTAAATAAAAACAAATTTGATGATTAGTAATTCTTAACAATAAAAAACAAATATGTCTAATTTAAATTGATCGGAAACCAATTATTTAATATATTGATTAATACCCAACAAATTATTAAATACAAAGGCTCCACATTATAACTTGATATGTATACCACTATAAAAAGAAAATAGAAATAATATAGATAATATTTAAAAAAATCCTATAAAAAGACTAGATGTGTAATTTGCTCTATTTTTTTTATTAACTGCAAAATATTGACATATTTTTATTTTTAATAAGAAACTACCTACATACTTTTTACCCAAAACAATAATGTAATTTTATTTTTAACACAAAATAATAATGCAATTTATATGTTAAACGAATATAATATACAAAATATTTTGAAACAACAAAAAGTACCTTTAGTTTTGACCAAAGAAAAAAATAAACTTTTATTTTTAACCTAACCAATCACAATCATCATCCACTTCATTTTGTTATTTATTGATTTTTACATATTTCCACAATGAAACAAATCGTTGTAAGAAATCTATTTATTAAATTTTTTTAACTTTTGTTTAGAAACTATTCACGACTAAGTGTCGAAACAAAGTTATTGCCATCTGTCGCATTACACGGACAGACGGCCAGGATGTGTGTTCAATTACTTCCCATGGATTCTTTTTTCTTTTTATTGGGTTTCATTTATTATGTATAATAGGGGATAAAAACAGTTATTTAAGTTATTAAATAATGGAAGATAAAAATGAGACTATGGAGTATGCACAATACTCAAACACACAAGTACTTTCACATCTTATGTTGCAATGACATGCAGAATTTGAAAGAAAACAAAAAGTTCAGCGGTCTCTCTATCCGCATTAAACTAGTTTCACGTGGTTCTTGAATTCCTTCGAAAGAATAAATAAAAATTGCGTTTAGCAGAGTTATGGTTTTTGAAATGTATTGAAGGAGAATTGAACTAATGTACACCATAAAAACAAACACTCCAAAAATTCACACAGAAAGGTAGATATTTTCAAGTACATGTAAACACAATAGACAATACACATGCAGCGTCAAAATCACAACTGATTTCGCCTCTAATCTTAACTTGTTAGCTTCAACTATCTATTTAGTCACTTCCCTATCCATTATTCTTATAAAGAAAACGACTTCATTAGTTTTACCATAGTGAATGAATCAAAATACATTGATGTTTACTAAAAAAAATCCATGATTATGGGGCCAATAAATAATGGATATGACACATCGAAGAAGACAAGAAAGACATATACCTAACCTCTATAATTTTTTTTTTTTATAAAAATTGCCCTAGTCTCCATAAATATCAGCCAAAATCTACAGACTTATCATCATCTCCAATGGAGAAACTGGAGTTGATACTTATACCATCTCCTCTGATGGGACATGCTGGCCAGCTGGTGGAGCTAGCTAGACTAATGGCGAACCAATTTCACCATCTCACCATTACTCTACTCATCATGAAGCTTCCCGGAGACCCAATTGGCACCGATTACACCGATTCCCTCGATTCTAAAGACCACGATCGAATCAAATTCATCCATTTCCCTCCTATGGATCTCGATTCGTTTACAGACTGCCCAACCGTCGGCTTCATGGCGGATGCAGTCATCGAACGCCATAAGCCTATCATAACGGAAGTCATCGCTAACCGGTTCAATGGGTCCCACCGAACATCTCGACTCTGTGCATTGGTTGTTGACATGTTTTGCACACCAATGATCGATGTTGGAAAGGAATTTGGCGTACCCACGTACATCTTCTTCACCTCAAACGCGGCTTTTCTTGGGATTATGTTGTATTTTCAGATTCTCGATGATGAACATGGTCAGGATGTATCCGAGTTCGCAAACTCCGGAACCGAGTTAACGATCCCGAGTTACGCCAACCCAGTTCCTCCAAGCGTGTTGTCTTTTGTACTTGTGAATAAGGACTTCTGGTCCAAAAGGTTTATTCGTTACACCCGAAAGTATAGAGAAGCCAAGGGTATTATCGTAAATACGTTTCAAGTGTTGGAACCTCACGCGCTCCTTTCTTATGATGACAACACACCACCTGTTTACACCGTGGGCCCAATGATAAAGCCCGAAAAACATACTCCAGACAACGAGGTGTTGAAGTGGTTGAAAAGTCAACCCAAGTCAACGGTTGTGCTACTATGTTTCGGGTCCAGGGGATGGTTCGATGTGGACCAAGTGAGAGAAATAGCGATTGCAATAGAGAGGAGTGGATACGGGTTCATATGGTCCCTACGTCGACCTCCATCTGAGGCCCAAAAAGGGTTTCCGGGGGAGTACACAGACATGGACTATAACGAGGTCCTACCAGACGGGTTCCTAGAGCGTACAGCTGGCAGGGGTAGAGTTGTCGGGTGGGTCCCACAGACGGCGGTACTTGCTGACGTGGCGGTTGGTGGGTTTGTATCCCACTGCGGGTGGAATTCTGTGTTGGAGAGCCTTTGGTATGGAGTTCCAATTGCCACCTGGCCGATATACGCTGAACAGCAGTTGGATGCGTATCAGTTGGTTAAAGATTTGGGATTGGGGGTTGAGATTTCATTGGATTATAACCAACAAAATAAGAATCAGAGATTGATTTTGGCTGAAGAGATTGAGAAGGGAATAAGAGAGGTGATGGATGGAGATAGTGAGGTTAGAGCAAAGGTGATGGAGATGAAAGGTAGGAGCCGAATGGCTTTGGAAGAAGGTGGTTCATCATTGGCAAGTTTGAGAAAACTGGTTGAGGATTTCATCTCATGTAACTAGCTCACAAATCTTTTATGTAATTCCATTTGTTTTATTGGCAATACATATCGCTATTTTCTTTCGGAGTCACCACCAAGAAGTGAAAGAGGTGTATCATTTTACTTTTTCTATATTCTTCTCATAAACCATTTTTACCACGTTCAGCAAAAGCAACACAGATTGCATAATAAGTTTAAGATGCGTTTTGAGTGTAGAAGAAAACTGTTTTCATTTAAGTAAAATAAATATTTTCAGAACATTGAACGGATTTTTCATTTTCAGTTTTTAGTGAAAATTTTAGAAAACACAATTAGGTCAAATTAGTGGAGTTTTTATTTTCCAAAAAACATGTTTGGCTATCACTTTTCAGTTTTCATTTTCCATTTTTTGTTTTTCCAAATATTCTAGTATCAAACATATTTCAGCAAAAAAAAAAAACAAAACAAAACAAAGTTTTAACATAAGATTATCAACTTTAACTTTAATGCATAATTAAAAGTACATATAAAAAGAAAACATTTTCAGATAAGACAATTTTTATTACTAATATGATAATTAAATTGCAAACATTTTGATAATGGTTAGGGCGTGGGTGTTGGGTAGGGTAGGGTAGAGTTGGGTATGAGGTTTGGGTTGAGGGTGTAAGTGACGGGTAGATGTGTTCCAAGATTTATATTTTAGAAATATTTAAAAAACGAAAACTATAAAAAAACAATAAAAACCAAACATGTTTTCAAAATTTCTTTTTCCTTGGTAAATTTTCCACAAGCAAAAACACCCTTATATTTTGTCAACAATCATAATATCATAAGAGAAAGAAAGTGAAAAGACTAGGTATATTCACACGAGAAAGTGAAACTTATATTTCTTATATTTTGTCAACAATCAATAACATGATAATATAATGAAACAGACTCGAAACAATAACAAAAATATGTGTAGACATTTAGAAACCCAAAAACACTAAAAAAAAAATCAACCATCAAAATGGCAATTGATATTTAAGCAATGTATCCATGAAAATAATGAAACCCCAGATCCAAAAAAAATGTATCCTAGGACATATTATTAATTAAATGTTCCCTTGAAGACCATCTAGGGAGGAAAAAAAAAAAAACATTGAAGAACAATATCTCATAGCATGAAGACTTTATATCATGGTTTAAGAGCAAGAGCCAAACCGAACTTAGGAGTTTTGTCCAAGGAGTTGGTGTCCAGCTCACTAGATATGGTGACAAGTGACTTGGGAATAATCTCATGCTGCAACAGTGCACCTAGCTTCCCATGGTTGTTGAGTTTAGCCTTAACCATGGTTAAACCATCAACTGCATAAGACCCTCCAACAGTGAACGTGTTCTCATTTGTTGAGAACCTTCTAGTAATCTCCCCTACAGCAGCATTCTTTTTTGATGCATCAAAGTGGTGTATATACGATGCCCTTATCGTGTCTCCTTTATCACCCCTGAAAAAATAATTTATGTTCCATTATAAAAAAGACATGTTTATAAGTTGAATACTTGAATCCACATAATGTTGTTTTGAAGGGAGATTGCTTACAAAACTATGGAAGCACTAGAATCTGGTTTGTTAACAGTGATGCCAGCAGTGTACTTTGTCAACTTACTAGAAGAGGTTTCATAGCCTGCCTCTGCGCCTATGGCAAATGTTGGTGTGCCAATTGTAGCTGAAAGGTCAACATTTGGGGCTTGAGTCAAAGCAACTGCAGATGTTAAAGTAGCATGGTAATGGAAGTACTGAACCTCAAGCTGTGAGGAAAAAAAGAAAGTCAAAAGTCAAAAGTCAAAACCCTAATATTAGATCAAGAAAAGGCTAAACAGATAATGAATCATGAATGTAGTCACTGTACCTTGCCAGATGTAAAATCAGGGAGTTTGAATGAAGCAATAGTCTTTGTTGAGGGCACAAGCTCAGTGAATGTTAATGTTGTAGCAATCTGCAGTATTCAGTGTAATGATGAAGATGATGATGCATTGTATATGAGAGATTGAGATGAGGGAAGTAAGAATTAGGAAGAAGCATACATTTGATTGTGTGTCGAATTTGACATCAATTAATGTGTTCTTGTATTTGTATATTGCTCCCACATCTCCACTTGACAGACCTCCTTTCTTTGTTGCAGTTGAAGTAAGTCCCTGAAATCAAGTAACACAGCAGATTGATATGTGTATACGCTTGAACATATGATTTATGTCAACAGATAACTATCTAGATGTTCAATGATTCTCAAAAGAGTTGTCATTGGTATTAGAATTTTCATCTAAATTACAAGTTAAAGCATGATTTAGGGTTTCGTATTTCATGATTTGACAACTATAGCATTTTAGGCTTCTAATACATCAGAAATTAGACATGAAATGGAAGATAAAGTGTTTGGGTGACCTATGCCATTTAGTCTCTCTGAATCTCTCTACCTGGATGTCCATTAAGATCACCTTCTATAGAACATAGACACAAATCATTGCAAGTTACTGGAGCTTAAAATTAAAGCAACAAACCAGTGCCAGTGGTTAACAAACATCCAAGGTAACGAATCTGACAACAAACGAAACAACTTGCGTGATAATTTTAATTGTAAACACTGTCCACAGAGAACCCCTAGGACCAAATTGATGAGTCAAATTTCATAAAAACAACGCGCATCAAGAGAAATGAAGAGATTGCATATGCTGCATAATCACATACCACTCCGGTAACACTGGTGGTTGAAACAGAGAATTTCTGATCGGACAGGTAGTCTCTCGTCAGCAGATCTATACATAAAACACGAACAGGTGGAAATTTTGATGATTCAGACTTAATCCAGAGTATGTTTACGAGAATAGAGGAAGATCGATTGTGAATTGAAATGAATTGAAATTACCTTTGGCTTTCTTGCCGATGTCGGAGAAAAGACCTGGTCCGTTGTTCATCGTTGGTGCAGAAAAAATTGAAGGAGAAAGAGGTGAAAGGGAAAGGGAGGGAAGGGGATGTCTTCGTGTTACGAGAGAGAGGAAAGGGCCCTTTGTGACTTGACTTTGGTCGAAATCGTAATGCTATAAATCTCGACCCGATCCGATCTAAGGTTATTTTCTCATCCTTCCTATCATCCTATCACGTATCACCCACAACACTTTTTTTTTCACTCATTTTGTTTCATTATTCTTATCCCTAAACCCATAAAAAAAAATATCAAAAATTATCATCTATCACATCTCATCCGTCATATTTAGGTTTTTTTTTTTATTGATGTTTTCAAGTAGAGCTATAATCGATTAAATAAAAAGACTTTTAAATGTTGTTTGCATAAGGTGAGCAAAAACCGAACCCAAAACCGTACCGCGCATATATATATATATATATATATATATATATATATATATATATATATATATATATATATATATATATATATATATATATATATATATATATATATATATATATATAAAGTGTTTATATTTGTAAGAACCAAGAACTTATGATAATTAAAACTTGGGAAAATGACACATACGCCCTATGAAGTTTCTAAAGTTGACCCTTTTAGTCATTTAAGTTTTTCGTGGTTTTATAAGGGAACCAACTTGTGGGCAACCTGTTCTTTTAATCTCCTTTACTTGTTTTAGCCGGTTTAGAGCACACGTAGACAAAACGTGGGGCCCACCTCTCTCTCACACACAAACACACCAGAAAAACCCAGAAACAACCAAAGTTGTTGCCTTCTTCAACCAATCCTCTCGTCTTCCTTCTATTTTGATGGCAGACTGATCCAATCACCACCAAACCACCGCCATGGCCAGTTGAAGCAAGCCTCCTTCTATTTTGATGGCACACAGATTCCACCAGGTTTCTATGTCCGTTCAATCTCTCCAACGAATTTATCTGGAAAAGAGCATGGTCAAACACATTCGAAAAGTCAAAGTCAAAAGTCTTATCATCAAACGGTTGATGATGAAAATCACCCTTGATCACAATAGGCGGGTATGGTACAAGATCCAACCCGATTGAATCATTAACTCCGACCCGTTTCAAAGCCTCCACTTCCTGCCCAACCCGAGCTCCAACACAAAGCGCCTTTGATGAATTTGCGAGCAGTTTTTCTTGTTTTAGTTGTAGAAAAAATTGGGTGAAAACCTGAATCTTTCGGTCCCAATCCCTGGAGGTCCATATTTTTCGGAGTTTTGGGTTGGTGGTTTTGTGAAGCTGGTGGTGGATGTGGATGTCGTAGGAGGTGTATTCGGGTCGGATTTTGAGTCCGTTGATGGTGATTGTACGGTGGCTGGAGTTGGGGTGTTTGGATTGTAGAGAGAGAAAGATGAGGTAGAAAAGAGAGAGGAGAATTAGAGAGAGAAAGAAAGCTTTGGGTGTTGATGATTTTGGTGGGTTGATTGGTTCTTTCATGTCTGTAACTGCTATATCTATATCAGAGGATACTAAAGAGCAAAACAACACATCGTGCATTGGAGAGAGAGAGAGAGAGAGAGAGAGAGAGAGAGAGAGAGAGAGAGTTGTGTGCCCTCTTATTATTTTTAATTATTAAAATGTAAAAATACGTGAACTGTCATAAAGGGGTAACCGGGTTACCCCTTCGTTTTCTCAAAAAGGACGTTTTAGACCCGACACAACCAACTTTGTTCCCTTAAAAGGTACAGAAATAGCATTAGGGATGATGATTGTATATTTTTAAGCATACATTCAGTGGTATTTACAATAATAAATAATGTGTATGACATTTTTTAACATTTAAATATGAAGAGTACTAGTGATATAATATCATTTTTATAAATACATTAATTGATATTATCGTGTGTATTTATCAAACAAATATTATATTAAATTCATATTATATTGAAGCATTAAAAACATATTGAATCAGTGAATATGTAATTTGATTTCAAACCAAGAAGTGGTGGTATCGGTTTATCTCCAATAAATGATTAGCATTCCTCATCTGAGTCAAAGTAACTCGCTGAATTACTTGAGTTTTAGTACGAAAACAAATAAAAAAAACTAAAAAAAAAAAAAACCGTAAAAAAAAAAACAAAAAACAAAAACGAACCGCAAAAACCGAACGGTGCGGTTTCTAAATTTCAAAAAACCGAAGTTGCGGTTTTTGGTTCGGTTTTAGCCAAAAACCGCACCGAACCACGTCATGCTCACACCTAGTTTGCAATGATGTATCTCATGAGTCCCCTGTCCCATCTCTTGCGAAACTCACTTTAATAAAACTTGGAAACTCATCAAAACATATAGAAAGTTAAATTAAAAATGTGAATAAAAATTATGTGGTTTCGAGTGACCCTTCAACTATTCTTGCATCTTTAAATAGTGTGATATTGTTCACCACACCCTATACACCCAATCTTATTGTTGATCAGCAAGATCATTCTAGTCTAAGACAAGTTGCCGTTGATTTGGTTACAAAATAAGAAAAACTAAAATAATGAAGAAAAAATGAAATTTGAAGTTCCAAGTTATAACATATAAATTCAGAAGATGGACATCAAAAACAAATAAATTGTTGCTAGATCTTGGACATCTCAAAACAAGAAATCATGGTCAATTCTACTAATTTCATCTTTTCTTTATCAAACCAAACCATTTTAAACTTTTCGGTTTTGTTTCCAATACATTTGAGAACAAAAACAAGAAATCATGGTCATCGAAAAATCCAAAATATTGTTCAATCTTGTAGCTCTCATGCATGTCAAAAGTTATAGGTGAGAAATCCAGAAAAATGTTTACAAAATGGTTAAAAAGGAAATAAAGCATAAAATAAAGGGGGTCATTTGATATGCAAGATACTAAGCATTGGAAACCTAAAGTAAGAAGTATTAT